TACTGGAACTTATGAAATGTTTTATACTAAAGAGAGAGAGAGGGGGGTTAATTGTAAAAAAAATGACGAATCCATCAATAAAATGTATTGCCTCGTACTGTAGGGGTTACAAATTAGGCCATTTATGTTCTCAAAAAAATCAATCTAACTCTTTGAGGGGGTGGACAGGGGTTAGGGAACATGGGAATGAGGGATCAGGAAGCGGGAGTCAGGGGGCGGGAAAAGGGGGTATCAGGTCTGTTAGCTCCTAAAACACATTCGCACCCTACACGTTCACACCCTGGGTTAGTTCGCACCCTATGTTTTTATTCAAATACATGTTGAATTATTTTATGTATTTTCAGATATGAATAGAACTATATTTTCATGAATAAAAGTTTGTGATCTTTTTAAATGAAATACTTTTTGGGGTGATTACATGATTATTATTAAACGTTCATTATTTATGAGTACTATTAATTGATAATTTACAAAGCTAATAAGGTATCATTGTAATGTGTATGAAAATCATGATTGCTGTTATAACTAGCTTTGGTGTAAAGGGAGTAAAAAATTAAGATTTTAAATAGAAAAGACTAGATAATTGTTTTTAACAGCCTGTGCCCTTTGATCTCGTGTGTGTCACTTTATTTTTAAACAATAAAAAAACTTAATATCTTTATTTTATAGTAAAACACTAAAGGGTGCAAACAGACCCAGGGTGCAAAAGTGTGGGGTGCAAATGTGAAAGGGTTCGAGTGCTAATAGGAGCGAACGTGATTTTTGATGAAAGGACCAGGATTCGAAAAAGGGGAGGAGTGAATATTCTTGGAAATATATTTGACAATGTTTTTTTCTGGGAGTAAGGGAGAGGGAAGTCGAAGTAGGGGGATGAAATTTTAGAGTAGAGGGGAAGGGAAATGGGAGTTAGGGATAGGGGAGTGGGAATCAGGGACCCCTGTCCGAGGGTAGTAATGGGGTACCCCACATGAGGAATGGCGGTAAAATATTTGTTAGAATAACGTTAACGATAAATATTTTACTCCATTTGACGCTAACGTAGCTACGAAATTAAATTTTACGACTGACGATAAAAAAAATTAAGGCTCATTTGACGCTAACGGTAGCGCAAAAATGACATTTGTAACGTTTGACAGTAAATAGTACCACGATATCCCGAGGATAGCAAGAACTAATTAATATCCCAAGGACCAATTGATTTGTCCCGAAAACTTGATATAACATGGTGTTATAATACTTAAAACAATATTAAAGGATAAAATTTTAAGATATTACTAGTTTTCCTGTCCTTTCCCTCCTCTGAAAAGATAATTTCACCAACAGGTTATACATGTTCATAACTTGCCGGTTAAGGGTGAAATAAACACATAAATAAGATACCAGCCTTAACGATTATACTTAGAACAGAAATTTAGCCCATGCTAGATTTCAGCTGCAAAGATTTTCTACAATAGCGAGTATTTTGAGACAACCCACCACTTTGTATTTTTCGTGATACTGACAACATTTGGCTGCCTAAAATATTAAAATCTAAGTTTTCTTATGTAATGACTCTACCTTTGTCGTTGTCTATTCGCCACTATGTCTGTTATTTATGTACATGGTCGTATTCATCTTAGGTGTATGCTGCTCAACAATGGCGACCCTGAAATTTCTGTTGTCCGATTATGGCGCCAAATTAGAGGGAAACATATCGCGCCTGACAAAATTACCGTAGTTCACCAAAATAATCAAATTTTCGCTTTTTCATTACAAACAATTATGTGTTATTCACATTTATATTCAGATATCGTCCATTGATATATTCGCAAACATTATTGTTTTAAAGCGATCAATAAAGAATTCACAACAAAGTAATTAATGGAGTGCATTGCAATCAGACCTCATGGGTAGAGGGGTAAAACATAACTTTTTTTAAACCCTGGTGAACCCCATTTTATTTTACCTTAAATAAAGGCAACAGTAGTATACCGCTGTTCGAAATTCATAAATCGATTGAGAAAAAACAAATCCGGGTTGCAAACTTAAACTGAGGGAAACACATCAAATATAAGAGGAGAACAAAGCCACATCAGAAATACTAAAATGCAACACACACAGAAACGAACCATAAGATAACAACTGCCATTTTCCTGACTTGGTGACTAAAATGACAACATTACATGACAGGACTACAATACAAATAAATGGAAGAACACACAGGACAGAGAAACACACAAATAAACAATACAATAGAATATTACGACAAGCTAATAGTTACCAAAGGTGCCAGGCCTAAAGATGAAGAGCATTGATGACCCAAAATTCAAAAAAGTTGTGCCAAATACGGCTAGGTTATCTGCCTGGGATAAGAAAATATTTAGTATTTAGAAAAATTAATATTTTTGTAAACAGTAAATTTATGAAATATAAAAATGACCATATAATTGATATACATGTTAACACCGAAGTGGTGACTAACTACAGAATAAAAACGAATACGTAAAACAACCTAGATCAGCACCTAAAAACAGCACAGCCGAAAAACGCATTGTATGTCAGCCGAATAGATTGACGCACAAAAGTGACGTTACAGGTAAATTTCTTTAAATTTCCGAAAAATAGGACAGACTTCAAGATAAGTTTTAAATACTGATATTACATGTATTTAATAACAAAGAAAATTACAATACTTATTAATTAAAAATTGTGTTAGTAATTAGATAATTAATTGTATCTAGCTATGTCGGTATTTCTTCTAAATCAAACTGAAAACCAAATACATAGTGTACGTTTAGTTGACCCAAACTAAAATCGTATAAATGAACTGGGTGATAAATTATCTTTACACTCACACACGAATAGAACAGAAAAAAAGTAAGAATTACAACTACAAACGTGAGACATATCGTGTGAATATGCACGAGCATAACGTATCAACTGAGATATGTAAACACCATACGAAGGGGCGGAGGGTATGTTACTGCTGAGAAATGGGAAATTGATAATTGGGAAGTTGAAATCTTCCAGTTTGTCATAGATTTTAGTGTGAAGTCGTCCATCTGTGTCAGTCCTTCTAGTATCAGTAGTATCCTTAATTTGAAATTGAAGTAAAATGCTTGAAAAGTTCATAGCTTTGACATATCCGTTTTTAAAAAAATCTACCAGGGAAAATTACAAAAAATCGATTTAACCAATATTTTTAAGCCTTAAACTGAAATAAGAAAATGCTAAATTTTGACATAAATCTGGAAATAAATGGATTGTTAAGTCTAAAATAACAACGGGAAAGGTTCACATTTCAAATTTTAATGTTTTTTTCACGTAATTATCATACTGACTTGGTTCTAAAAGTCTTTGAATTTGATGTAGCCGTTATTGTTAAAAGGGTGCAAATGTTTGGAAATAGGGTCAAATACGCACATTTCGCTTCCATTTGAGGGAAAAACGAGCCTGGTGACCCCCTTTTTTTTTGCATATTGGATTCAGCATAATAAGATCTACAAAATATGTGAAAATAAAAAATTTCTACCGGGGGTCCTTATTGGGGTGAGTCACCTTAATATCTGTTGCTCTTCGTTATAAAAGATGCGAGCAGCAACGACATTAACAGTACGGAAATCCACGCGCCAAGGAAAAACTGTACAGAATTTCAATGACAAAGATTTTTTTAATCTTGCTTCAAGATACTAGTATCAATTTGAATCGCGAATTGATTTTCATCGAATCACCTGTAGATGTTTAAGTACGACACGAATACCCCCGCCTACAGCCATACCACAAATACTCGGTGAACAGAAGCGAACCGCACACTCGGTCTGTAAGTTTTCATTATGCCCTTATGTACAAAACATAAGCACGACATTAGCAGTCATTGCTCAAAAGTTAGGACATGTACAATTTTCATGAAAACTTTTCAAATTGGTAAAGCCGTAATTTTGTCAAACAACAGTCACCCGAAATGAAATACAATCGTCCGTTTTAGTCATCTTTATACGATAATATTTCCAAAAGAAAAACATGTCCCGTTCTGCAGACATTGCTAAACATGTCCGAACAAGTAAAATTTTCATTAAAGTGTCTACAACCTTAATTCTGTCAAAATTCGGTCAACCGGTACAATGCACAAGCTCAATCTGGATGTTATTTTTAAACACTAATTTTACAAAACATCGAATCAATATCTGTATGCATAAACACACCACAAATCCTTTTATGCATAAAACGAAAACAAGTCTGGACAACGATTTTGATTAGAGAATTACGGAAGGACGAAATGACGGAAATGGGAACATTATATGTTAAGAGTAGTCGCTCACATACTGACGTAGCATAATTCTACTTTGCATTTATAAGCGCTTAGTATATATCAATACATTAAGCAGATACATGTATATAGGATCATAGCTGCACTTTGAATTTAAAAAAGTCATATTGCCAGCTGTAGGTAATGATACTTTCTTTTATCCAGGGGATATGTCACCAATATCTTCAGCTTTACTGTTTACGTATTGTCAAGATTTTTTGCAACACTACCGATAACTGTAACTTGTAACTTTTGCTTCGAATGATTTGGCAACACACTAACACTATATGGACTTACTCTAAGGCAAGTTGAATAATTTCAACCTGTAATAGGTAATTGCTATTTATCTGGTATGAAAAAATACTTTATAGAATATATAATAATACTTACCTTGCCTTGAGCGTGGAAGCAATCAAACCACAAAATGTTTTAAATTAAATGCTGAAGTTTGTGTGGAACGCGTCGGCAGTTTCAGCAACATTTTTATCTATTCTAAGTCGAAGGAAAAATCCAGAACTGATTGCATCAAATCTTTGAGCAACATAAAAGTGACTAACTATTACAATATTTACCTCAAGTGTTAAAACAATCAAAAGTAGTGGCTTAAAGAACTTACTTTGCCTCTAGTGTTAGAGAAATCAATAGAAGTGGCTAAAAGAACTTACTTTGCCTCCAGTGTTAAGAGAAATCAATAGTAGATGGTAAAAGAACTTACTTCGCCTCCAGTGTTAGAGCAATTATACCAGACGCTAAGGGTGCTGCGTACGACGTCCCCTGGATACCATCACTTTTACATCCTGATTCTATTGTAGTTGTTGTCTGAAATTAATATAAATTGATTTTCCTTTGATGTCTTTGTTACAAATGACAATTTCGTTGTTAATTTATCACTAGACGTCTGAGTGAACGTCAGTTATGCTCCAAGGGATATGTTTAGTTTTTTAATAGATATATAATTATCAATCCAACAGGCAATATCTATGCTATTACGTGAATTTTGGAAAATAAAGACTTCAAAAGCTAAGAGATACGGAGGTGAAACCAGAAAGAAACAACATATCTGCCTACAAAATAAGGACCCAAAATGGTAGAAACAAAAATAGTGTGTCTGGCTCGGTATCTTTATTTCTTGATCTCGAAGGTATAGGGATTTGGTTCGGAATTATTAAAACTTACATTTCAAAAAGTAGAAAGAAGTAAAATAACAAAAAATACCGAACTCAAGAGAAATTCAAAACGGAAAGTCCTTAATAAATTGGCAAAAACAAAAGCTCAAACACATCTAATGAATGGATAACAACTGTTATACCCCTGACTTGGTACAGGCGTTTCCTTATGTAGAAAATGGTGGATAAGACCTGGTTTTAAAGCTAGCTAAACCTCTCACTTGTATGACAGTCACATTGAATTCCATTATATTGACAACAATGTGTGAGCAAAACAAACAGACATAATAGGTAAAAACGTCAAAAATTGGGGTACAGCAGTCAACATTGTAATATAATCTTAATCACTATAAAATAAAATAAATGTTTCAACAAAGAAACACAAAATGGCATATAGACAAAGTACATAAGCAAAAATGAAAGACAAAAATTCAAAATTTACCATAGCACAATAACATGATGGCGGGATGTACAAGTAGAAAGCCACGTCATAAGTATATAATCAAAAATGGACTAAATAGTATAGGTTAAAATTATACAAGGACAAAAAAGGGGGACTTTAACACGTATTTAAGATGATAAACAACGTCAGTACTTAGAATCAATACTTCAAGACCATTTTGTATTATTTGTGAAGGTGATACGGAATATTTATCAACAAGGTCTTGGTATCTTCCAATGAACTTTTTTAGAAACAGGACAAGACGTTCTTTGACATAACCTTGGCTGATCAATTTTCTGCTCAGGCACTGGAAACGTTTTCAAAAGTCTGAGTAGCAGCTGCAAGCTCTTGAATACCGAATGAGTTGGGAATGTATATCACACACCATATTACCGCCTAACGATACGTCAGATACGATAGGATCTGTGTTTCCGATTTCTATTAAAAGCTATTGTCTGCGTTTCTCCGATTGCCACTACAATACAATGGATTTTGCATTCGTTTATAGCAGATTTTAATCTGTGTTACCTATTGTATCTGCAGTCCAACAGCCGGTAATTGGGTGTGTAACATATCTTAATTCTGTTCTTAGGAGGCATGGCATTTACAGTGCTGGCAAATTAAACAAAAATATTTTAACCCTTGTTAGCTTTTTTTTTTTTTTTTTTTTTTATTTTTCTTATGGTGCATATTAAATAACATCAGCAAATAGAGGTTTAACTAGGTTATTGATGTCTTTTGTGTATCTTTTAAAAAAACTTTGAATATCAAGAATAAAATAATTCACGTTGAATTTTACTTCAGATATCACTAACATCACTTTTCTTCGAGTGTATATGTAGATAACGGCGAATAAAATTTAATTCTCTGTGACGATATTTTTATAATTATCCGTAATCGTTCTAGAAACAGTTTAAATAAATAACAAGATTGATTGGACCTATATTGATTGTTGTTTACTTAACTTCCAGTGGCAAATATTTCAAAGTTGGTCTACTGGATCAACAGATCGACACTCTCCCATGACTGGTCTAGCATCTTACGTTCCCTTTCGACAAGGACATGACTGAGTACTTATATGTCCCGCAAAGATACAGACTCTACGACAGCATGGATCTTAATGCAAGATGGAAGAAGTCCGGGTTATCATAACTACAATGTATGTCTAATCCTCAGTAACCATTGCAGTCGATTTGACCAAGATTTAAACAGTCCAAATTTAACAAGTATAAATATATATATATATATATATATATATATATACGGATCGAATTTTGCAAAGATTAAGACATACATAAGTCGGATTCAACGAAGACTAAGATTTATGCAGATATTGATTGAATAAATGCCATTCCTTTCTGGGATAACCAAGAATATTTTGTTATTGCTCCCAAATGTTTTGTATATTTGGTTTCTGAATTGTTTTGTCTGAAGGGTTCTTAGTGAATGGTTATTCCTGGAAAATGTGTCTTGCATACTAACTTTAGTACATATAAGTGTTGACTAGTGTATAGAAATGCGGTAACCTGGGCTTCTTTCGTCCGTCAGTTATACGCATGCTGAAGGGAGGGGATTTGAATACGTTGTCACGTTGGAATAAGAACGTAAAATCCGATTTTTTTGGTGGTTTAAACCTGGTTTTATAGCTGGCTAAACCTCCCATTTGCATGACAGTTGTTTAAAGTTCCGTTATATTGACAAAATTGAACGAGCAACCAAAACAGACATATGAGTTTTACTCATTGTTGAAGGCCATACGGTGACCTATAGTTGTTAATGTCTGTGTCATTTGGTCTCTTGTTGACGTTTTCTCATTGGCAATCATACCACATCTTCTTATTTTTATAATAGGTTTTTGACAATAATTAAGATCCAGCAGCCATAACTGTAAACATACATCACAGACATAAAACACAAATACAAAAGACGCCAACAAAAAAGGTGTAGTAGATAGTAAATTTTAAATTTTACAATGACGTCAACAAAATTCTACATAAGTTTTCGTCGTTGATAGTACACGCTGAATGTAGGTTATACACTTTCTCGATAGAGTAAAACTAAATAAATGTAAATACAAGGGTTATCAAAACAGAAATAACACTGTAAAACTCCTGCGTCCGAATCGCACCTCAGGGCCCACATACACCATGAATGCCCAAAGTTAAAAAGTCAAAAACCGGATTGCGGGATGTATAAATACCGTGTCACGTCAAAAGTCATACAACACAGAGAAACAATTTGCAACTGAATATAGTAATAATAAAGGATATCAAAATCAATTACAAATGGGACATTTTCATAAGGAGTTCCAATAACTACCTAAATTCAAATACCTAATACAAAACAATTCTGTAATAAGATAAATAAACATTGGAGAGTGTAATTTTGAAAAAAAATACTACATGTTTTAATTTTTAAAATCTACTACTTTTCTATTAACTGCTTTAATCAGTTTATTGATCTACAAAAATACTTATCTTCCTCCAAACAAAAATATATGCTCATGACAAATGACTTGCTAAAAATATAATTGATAACTTTCCCTGCAATTTTGTAAAACAATATTGAAGGTTCTCATTGTATGATTTATGGAGAATTGGGTAGAATACCATTACGTATTCTTATTAAAGCTAGAATAGTTGGTTTCTGCCAACGTATCATGTGTGGTAAAAAGAAATATTTCATATACACTGTATTCTATATTGTATCAGCTTAGTAAAAGGGGTTTCTACAACTCTAAATGGTTGTTAGACATTAAAAATACTTCTTATGATTGTGGATTTAATTTGATGTGGGAGGATCAAATAATTGTTAAATCTGATAATATTAGTAAAAGTTTTAAGAAATGTTTGAGTGATAAATATATGCTGAACTGGAGTAATAATGTTATGAATTCTGCAAAATCTCTTAATTAAAGAATATACAAATCTGATATTTGTTTTGAGAAATATTTATCAGTGTTACTATCTGATCTAAGAATGTATCTATGTAAATTCCATTGCCTTAGTTATGGATTGCCCATTGAAACTGGCAGATGTTTTAATATTGATAGAACTGAAAGACATAGTAATCTCTGTTATGCTGATGAATTTGGTGATGAGTTTCATTACTTATTCAAATGTACCTTTTTCAACAATGTAAGAGCCAAATATTTACATTTAAATATATGTAATAACCCAAATGTTTTAAAATTTAAAGAACTGATGAATACATCAGATTTATTTACACTTACTGAAATAGCAAAATTTTACAAAAGTGTTATTAAAACCTTGTGATAATGAGCTTAATCATGTTACTATAATTCATACTTCCTTTCACATATCAGTATTCATTATTTATATATATGCTATTATTACAACTTTGTTAACTGTCTTATTCTAATGTAAATATAAATTAGGCCGTTAGTTTTCTCAATGGTATTGTTTCATATTTTTCATGTCGGGGCCTTTTATAGCCGACTATACGGTATGGGTTTTTCTCATTGCTGAAGGCCGTATAAATGCCTATAATTGCTTACATCCACTTTATTGGAACTTTGGTGGATGGTTGTCTCGTTGGAAATCATACCTCATCTCCTTAATTTTTTAATGTTTACACTTTTATTGTTTGTTAAAATTTTGTACTAACATACCCCATATGGGGGCTTTAGTGAAATAAAATGTCTTATGTCTTACGCAACTCAATTCAAAGGTTTTATCATGGTAAGATAATAGACTTACCAGGTACCTGTCATTCTCACTTCCACCATATGTTACAGCTAAGGCAGGAGCACATACTTCAGAGTACCATGCATTTTGACCAATCGTTGCACTAGAAATGGCTACAGTATAAATACTATTGACATAGCCGTCAGCATTACAGTTGTCTGCAGTACCTCCATTACCTGCTGACCATATGTAAATAGCACCTTTACCGTTCCTTCCCTGCAATGCGTAAGTGTTCCAATATATACCTTACATAAAAAAGAAGCTCTTAAAAGTTTTTATCTCTCAACAACTATTCCGATTTCCACGGTAAGCAATGATCACACTCTAACAATATAAATATATTTAATCAGCTTAAATTGTCGAGTAAATAGTCAGCCAGATCAACTGGATTTTTCCAAACATTTCATTGCATTTAGAGTTGATCAGAAGTAGCATTAGCTAGCATTCTTGTGTGTTAAGAATGATATGTTTAGGAAAAATCTGTAAGAGTAGATTGAGTCAGCTATTTTTCTTCTAATGAAATGGATCTGCAAATTCCGAAAAAATGTAAAATCTAGTGCGTTTCTTAATTAGATATGCAAGTTTTAAATTAGTATAAAATGCATATCTAAATCAGACAAGCAATGCACAATATAATATAACATCAGTACGAACACACATTCATGCCAACGTCAAAACTTTCAATATGTTTTAGGTACATGTATAATATGTTATGAATATAAAATATTAATTTTTATTCAACATAAAAATCGGTATTTTTAATCGACAGATGACTGAATGCAAGAACATCTTTCTTCAATGTTTCATAATCAAACGCTTTCTAGGTACTAGTAATGTTTTATAACTAGTATATCCAACCAAAGAAGTGTTACACAAATTCAAAGTACATTATGCAAGAGATGGTATTGCAGATGTTTTTACAAAAATCTGCTTGAGTTTATCTTTTGATACAAAAAGTTAGGTATGTCTTTTCAAAGGATAGAAATGTCCAAGAAACCGAAATTTCCAGTAAGTTCCTAAAATTTCGACCCCATTTATCTATAAAAGTAGCACATGAAGGTATATTTCGTATTACATATTTGAATTGAATAGTTTCATGCAAACTTTCGTCAAAAATTCACCGTGGGATCAAAACTGTATCGTATGCCCTCAAGAAGTAAGAATCCACTAAGAAGTATCTAAAATATCAAAGACCACAAGACTGTATTTGTAGATCCCAATTTCTTGTTTATCTATTTCAAAGTTTACAGGTTACAGTATCTCTCTATCCATTACTGTGTTCAAGATAATGACCCAAAACATCAAAGTTCATGATTTGTTTTAAAGGGCAATAACTACACATGGACTTTAAAATTCAATATTACTTCGATTGGACAAACTGACAATTCATTTACTGAGATCATCGGCAACCACACATTTATTAAATTTTGTTAACAATATTGGTTTAGAAAAGGTTAAATTACCAAAACAATAGAGACAAATGTTTATCAACCTTAATTCACTTTTTTTATTTAAACATCAATACTGACCGATGTCCTGTTTTAGACATTGATATTACAATTGTTCACGGAATTCTTCATACTAAACTAACGATTAATGGAACGACTTATCAATCTTTTGAGTTTCACTGGGGGAAAGGAGGGGACGGATAAGCATTACTTAAGCTTCTGTTATGGAGGAAAAAGGGAGAAGGGACCGCTGCTCTATCGAGTTTTCTCCCCTTTCCCTCCAAAACGTTTATTTCAACTAAATAACGGGAACGGACATCTTTTGCTTTGTGGACTATTCAAGCCTTCGTCCATTTTCTAGCTTCTTTCATGATATCTGGGGAAGACTAGCTCACTCATTTCTGGTCTATGTAATACCTTCATCAGGTGTGTCTATCTTCTCGGACACTTGTACTTTCGAGGCCTGGCGATGGTGAACAAAATACAATGTTGTTTAAATGATTTATTCCAAACAGCAATCTAAATTGAAGTTTGATATGTGATCTTTTTATTTGAATAGAAGCCGTTATTTTACTTATTCTTGTTAATGAAAATCTCATAAATTTAACTTAAGTTTTTAATATCTAACTTTATCTAAATAAAGGCAACAGTAGTATACCGGTGTTCAAAAGTCATAAATCGATTAAGGGAAAACAAATCCGGGTTGCAAACTAAAACCGAGGGAAACACATCAACTATAAGAGGATCAGAATATAAATTCATACTTTAACATTTAATTGAAAATAGTTTAAACTTTACTTAAACAATTTACATACCTGGTGAATAAAATACAATGTTGTTTTAATGATTTATTCCAAACAGCAACCTAAATTGAAATGTGCTATGTGTTGTTTGGGAGTTTGTGGTCTTCCCTTTTTTAACCCAACATCACGTGCTGATTGGAACTATTTTATTAACCAGTGTCAATTTTGAATTTTCTTAACTATTGTTTTATTGGTCAATCATTCCTTTTCTCATGTAAAAGATTTATATGATTGATAATATAATTTATTTAGTTATGTAAAAAGCAATTATGGATTATCAAAATATTAACCTAATTTACAGGATTATTTTAGTGGACAATAGAAACATTTAAGTATCCTTTTCCTACGGCAAAATACATACATTTTCATTCTATTAAAAGATGACAGTTTATTTACTTGATTTCTCAACGTCACTTTAATAGCTATGATCAAAGGAACTCTAGAAATAAGATTTACTTATATTTAGTCTTATTACCGAAAGACAAAATTACTTATTACTTAATCTTACGTCACCTATTCTGTCTCAAACTTTAGCAATGTAATATATGTTAAATATAATGATTCAATTTTATTTATTTATTCGTTTATTTATCTTATTTTTACTTTATTTTCATTTTCCAGCATACTATTTTCCATCATTATACTACCAGCATCTTAACACAGAAAACGAGTTATTTCAACAATTGGCCAATTCGGAACGACTAAAAGATTATAGATTCTAGAAAAAGCACAATTCGTGAATATGCTACGGTGCTCGTAAACATAATTTATGATTTCTCAAGGATAAGCGAAACTGAACGAAATGCTCGTTATTGTACTTAGATGTTTTAAAAAAGCGTCTTTTTCACTTCAGATGATTTTGATTTTCATTTTGTTAAGTTAGTACTATTAAACAGTGTTAGACAGTGCCATTATGGTAGCCCAAAATAGGTTCTCGAGAAAATTTACTGAACTTTTAATGTACCCTTGTGGAACTTTCTTTTAATAAAGGTTCACATATGTTAAAAGATAAATTGTATTCCGATATGATTTTTCCAATTTATGTTTTACTTGTTTGATCATGGAAGCAATTATATTAAAATATTCATTCGATCGAAATGGGGACTTTAAATTTGTAGGTGACCCGATGCGAGGCAAACTATGATTTCTTGTCGTATCCAACATATCATTCTTTCACCGTGGCTATCTCAATTTTTTCATCCTTGGTCTCGGTTATTTAACTTTGTAAAATCTACATATTAACGGCTATATTGTTAATAAGGTCTTGCTCTTAATATTGCATGAAATACTTGCCACTGGATGTCCAACAAACAACAATAGTCAATCAATCAATACAAAGTGAGTACTTTAGAGCTATTTCCCTAATGCTTGTAGTTTAAAGGCTTGGTTGGCTTGCTTGCTTTGTTTGTATAAATGTTTGCTAAAGCATTGTAATTAAGATTGACATCCGCAATCAATAGATAGGCGGGCTTCAGCTTGTATACATTGTAAAGTATTGTATATAAGCTGAAGCCCCGCCTATCATTGCAGCGAAAATGTACAATTTCAGTCATAGAATATTTCTATAAATTTCTTAATCTCTCCGAATCTATATTTATTCACCTTAGAAAAAGCAACAGTTATATTTATAACTCCACGACGATATATATTTTGCAAAGAAAATAAACAGGTGTCTTCTATTCTGTCTGCTATGTTTTTGGAAAATAATATCTAGATTTAGAACCGTGGTCTGGTGTTTTAAACTGAAACTTCACTTGTATTATGAAAATAGAACATATCGATTACAGTGCTCTCTGCAAATTCTGATTTTGAGAGGTTTTTGAATTATAAAGAATTTGATTATTATTATAAATAGACGTGTTACGAATTGGTATATATACCCGATGCTGAGGTTGACAAATCAGAATTTAAATTTGGGTATCGTATTAAAACATAAACGTGATTTAAAGATTAAAATTACCTGTGTACAAATTGAACCTTGTGTTTAAACTGAACATTATTAATGTCAACGTATTTTTGTTCCTTATTACAGATGTCCCTTTGGAAACATTATTACTGACAATTTCATTATAATATTGATTATGAAACGAATATTCCATAACATTTATTCCTTAAGAAAAATTATTTATTAATTCCATAATATTTCTGCCATTTTTAACACTGATAAGGGATAGAGTATTACAAAAAGGAAATAGATCTAGGAGAAGGGATAGAAGGAAAGCTTAGAAAAAGGAGTACGGGACGAAAGAAACAAATCCCCTGTCTTCCTCTATAAATTAGAGCTACAAATGATTATATACATGTACTTAGTACTTTTATTTATTTATTTTTTACGTTTTCGGTCGAACGTGTGAGCTATCGGGAAAAGAGGGTGTAAATTTTGTATCATAACTTTGCAGAACGTATGTATATACATATTTAATGCGCACCTCCTTTCATACCCTGTAATTTTAATGTTTTGCATTCCTATAACTTCGTCTTTTCTAAAGAAAACTTTAAAGCAAATCAAAATTTCTGTTATACCAATATCATGGGAAAAAAAGCCAAAACAATCTATGAGCTACACCATGATCAAAGAGGTGAAAATATAAAAGGAAATGAACCTGCGATTATCGGAGTGTCGGGTATATGTGGAACACACTATACATGTAAGTCGTTTAAATACTTTCAAAGGCATTGGGAACGTAGCTCATGGATAAATTCGTGATAAAAAAATTACCAAACTGTACAATCAGATTAAAATTCAGTTCTATCGTAAATCGCTTGCAGTCAAAGCAAATGAGCATAACGAAATCAGAGATCGATATTTTAATTAAATTGCCAGACTGCAGAGCACTGTCCGGGATTAGTGGAGTGACAGATTGAACTTCAGTTTGTCTTTGACTTGTGCATTTGAATATCCCTTTGGTAACCTCCTCCTCTCTTTTTTCCGTCCTATAATCACAAGCAATGATATCGGAAAGTGATTAATGTGTTTTCGATGTAAAACCATGACGTTCTACATTAATATAATCCAAATGAACCAAGACGTGTGTTGGTCAACAACACTCATAGGATTTAAATTTGACCGGTTTAAATCGATAATAATATTTTGACAAAGTCTCCTCATTAAAGTCCGATTTGTCAACCCCAGCGACGACAATACACCCTTTCGTAACATGTCTAAAAGTAATAGTAGTATTATTAGCAATATTTTGTCGACTTTTCCTTCATAAGTCTTATTTAAAGTTACTGGAAATAAAATTTCAATGAACGAAATCTCACTGACAGTTGTTTCAAGATCGGTTTCCTTATTTGTTTTCAGCCGTGTTTGTATAGCTTTGAAACAAATAAAGATTCAACTTGAAGTAAATATTTGAATTTCGTTCTGTAAACATATCGTGTAAATCCATTGAACGGTTCGTTTGATATTATATCATGCTTTTGCATGTTTTTAAAGAAACGAACCTGGTGTTATAAGTTGATCAAGGTAGGATATATCGTAAAACAGAGTTGCAAGGTTGCATCGGTGCACGTGTGTAACCAGTAAAAGTGAATTTTGATGTAGATTTGTTGTTCTGTTCTGTATTTTACTTTTGTTGATATGCTAATTTCGATCAATAAAATGGGCAATGTTGGGATCTCACAGCTAGTATAACCTAGCCACATTTGCCTGTACCAAGTTAGGAACCTCGTCCGTAGTTATCGTATCTTATTATTTTTCGTCATTTAGAGAATTGGGTGTTGATAACAGATATTTGATTGTTTCCGTTAAATTTATTTACACCTGTCTTTTTTGAAGGCTATATGTTGCCCTTCTGGATGTCGCTTGGTTATTTTTGTAACTGTGTTGTTGTATTGTCGACATTTACCAAATATCTCCTCTTGTATTCCTATTACGAGGAATACATCGGAATTCTAATTTGATAGATGCACAGTTGAAATGATAAGGATCGATGTATATCTGGCAGATAAATAGAAAAACGAGGCTAAATATGTCAATGCTATAAGTATATTTCAAACGTCAGCGAGTGAAATATTGTAGATTCATAATTCTATACTCTACGTAAACCAGGACAACACCATATTAAATAAGAAACTTAACAATCATATTTCATTTGTGTAAAACTAGAACAATATGTCAATTAGACACAAAAAAGACAAAAACTAAATGACAACTTACATTAGTCACTCCATCCAGCAGTGCTGCCTTTGTCAGTGAACCAGGACCATTAAAACCAGTACCGTCACCAGGTCCCCAGCTATTGCTGTATATATCGACATTTGACAGATAGTGAGAAAGACCTTGAGCTTCATCTGAATCTGATATAGCATGGGAACCCAATATCCGAACTCCTTTAAAAGAAATAAATCATGTCTCTTATGCTGTACAGTGTCTATAAAGCATAACACCTTTCTTATATACATGAATATGCAATGACAGCGGGAAATACTTTTAAATGGGGTGAAATGGAAGTGAGATCAAAATTTAATTGATATATTTAATGACTTAGCATTTGTGTGTGTGTTTTTATTTTTTTTTTTTTTATGCGATACTTCTAATATTTGGTGCATAAAGGTAACTATCAAACGTCATGCGGAGTTTGCAAACGAGGTAGGTATGAGCGATTGTTTGATATAACACCCTTGTTAGACATGAATAAATATCAAATCAGCGTTTTGCACTATTGGTGATATTATATTATATTATGTAACTGGCATCAACAAATGAAGGACAACGTTTCCGGATATTAAGACCACTTTCCACTTAAGAGTAAGTAATCACGGTAATTCACAACTTACTGTATCAAATCCATAATGGTATACTATACTCTTAAGCTAAAATGGTGATTCATCTAATATATCATACAATTGTTTATTTTTTCATAATAAGGAAGAAACAACTAGATGTTAACAGGGGGGAAGGGGGGGGGGGGGGTCGTGGGGCTAAGAAGAAAACTTTAATCCAGCATTTCGTTCGCTGCATCTTTGGACTAATTTTTCTTCTTTGAACTGATACTGATTTATCTTTGTCATATCGTCAAACAGAGTTAGCTAGGAACATTTGTGTGCAAAAAAGTATTAACGAAAATAGCGAACTCCTATGTAAATTGTAGAAGGGGAGAGTCGATATAACCTGACAAAATCATACGCTGGACAATATCAACCAACAGAACAAATGGAAAATAACTGTCATATTCCTGATTTGGTATAGGCATTTTCCGTGAAACCTGGTGTTATAGCTACATAAACATGCAATTGTATGACAGTTGTTTATAGTTCTGAGTTTGTCAGTCTTATAAAAGTCTATGGAGTACAGAGGTAAGATAGAAATTTTCCCACAGGCCTTGATGGAAGTAAGAGCACTGTATGCTGTACATAAATCCCTTGTAACCTCAGGAGATAAAACGTTAGAAACAAACTGAAATGGCATGGATAAAAATGTAGGATGAAGACATTAAGCCATTGTACCCGAGTTGATTTTATAGTCCGACATACAATAATTTATAGCACTTAGAACAGCTAGATCAGTCGTAAGGTACAAGCATTCACGACAAGACATTATCAAATGTTATATTGACACAATTTTGTTATAGCCCAAGACAGCAAACGGATGAAGAGAGAACTACGAATATAAAACTTACTATTATAGAAGAGAGGCGAAAGATACCAAAGGGACATTCAAACTCATAAGTCGAAAATAAACTACCAACGCCATGCCAAAATATTAATCATAAACTATCCTAAGCACCATCACAAGGAAAAACAAGTTTAGATAATTTTTATAATTTCCGTTTTACCACCAATATAAACCTCATTTGAAACACAAAAGATGAAAATGACATGGTCGACCACCAAGCTGTCATATTTGTTAACTATCAAAAATTTTCTGAAATTGATATTGCTACAGCTAATGTAGCTGGGATTCGTTTAAATCTTAACAACATAGATGTATCTACGTCCTATCAAAGATATTAACTTCTAAATGGAATATACCTTGCTTGAATAGAACTATTTACATAAACACAAGAAGGAAACAAGGAAGTCATAATAAAGCAAACAGGGCTCAGAGAAAACAAGACTAGGAACGTTTTAGTTCATTATGAAAACAGGTCAAGGTAGTACTAGACACAAAACACCAGAGATACATTGGAAATACATTGGTGACCTGCTAGATATGAAATACTGATGGATTCAGTCGAGGATTATACCAGGCAATCGGTGAAACGCGAGATAGATGATGTAGATACTATTTTAGAATGGTTTACGGCTGTGAGGTCGTTGATACAATTCAGAACTATAAAACTGAATGGGTCTATGAATACGCATGCTATCAATCTTTAAAGACCTAAATGTTGCAAAAAGTAAAATAACAAAAATATCGAATTCCAAGAAAAATTAAAAACGGAAAGTCCCTTAGCAAATGGCAAAAAGCTCAAACACATCAAACGAATGGAAAACAACTGTCATATTCCTGACTTGGTACAGGCATTTCCTTGTGTAGAAAGCATCTGTCCTACCTTCGTGACAAGTATGTTGTTATCTCAACAGATAAAACCTCAAACAACATCGTTGTTATGTGTAAGTCACATTACATAAACTGCTTGAAAAATGAATTACATATTGACAATTCATTTTGGAAACTCACCATATACCCAACGACACTAACCAAGGAGGACAATCATAGGTCTGTTCTATGTTTCATTTTGGAATTTCAACTAACGATGAAGAACTGGATCTTCCTTTACTTTATTTGATACCTAAAGTACATAAGTGTCCTTACAAACAACGCTATATTGTCGGGTCTTCAAAGTGCTCCAAATTATAAACATCAATTTTATCAACAATCAAAGCCTGGCTTAAAAGTTATTGTGAAACTGCATATTATAGAGGTGGGTATATCAGTTGTGGATACTAAAAAATTCCCAAGATCTCTTAGAATTCATACCATCTAAGACTCTTTCATAATGCAATAGTATTAAAACATTAGACTTTTCTACACATCCCCCATTCCAACCTAAAAGACAAATTGAACGATTTGGTATGCTTATATCATTAAAAAGAAAGAACAACGTAGATACTAGTATCTTGTCTAAGGGAGGAATCACTATGATTCAAACAAAAAATTATCTAAAATTGTCAAGATGCTTGATTTCTTGATTGACAACATATGATTGAGGACGTGTTTTTCAACAAACAATCGGCAATACATACAAACAAAGCATGATTCAAGAAATAGTACACAAACAGATTGTCGTCCAATCTTCAGGACACACCATACAGGTCCATCAAAGATTTTCCATTCAATTCGGTTCAGAAGGTTAATAAAACAAAAATGACTTCTCTGTCAGAACAATAAAAACAGGAATTATTTTCCACTAACAATTATCAATATTGAGGACTATGAGTCTTTTAAAATTCAGACTCGCTGCCCATATAATGTAAATAATCCAATTCATTTTTTAACATACAACTTTATATAAATATGATTTAAACTGAATCACCTGTAAACTTCTTCCGATGCCGGTATGTTGTACAAATGTAGAAATACTCAATAAAGTTGCTTTCTACATACTTGGTCACACACTGTCAACATCTTATTTATAAACACAAACCTATGTACGGTATTTTAAATACAGATATTGCTAAAAGAAAATTGAGAAATAAATTTACATAGTTTGCTGAATCGATACCTACGGTGGATGTGACTCTACTTTTTAATCCTTTTCCATTCTTTTAATTCATTCATTAATGTGTGTGTTACATTTGGGGTTACCTTACGATTGAACATAGAGCCTTCCAGACGAAACATTGTTTATCAAAATGCTCATCTGATCATCAATATTATTTGTTTTTGTTTAAACTTCTTAAATGACAACTATAGGTACTGTGAGTAAAGCTCACTAAGTTATACCCCGCCCATTGCAAAGTCGAAGTTCATGCTTTGGTAAAAGGAATCCGAAAATTAATTTAGATCAAAACTATAGTGAAGGTGCGCAATGATTAAAATTCTGAGAAAATTTCATCAAATATTGTTTAGGAGTTTAGGAAAAGAGATATACATGTTAACTTTAATGTGCACATGCTTTGCTGATTTGCCAGAATCATTATCATCGTTTCATCGATAACCGATACAGAAGTTGCACAATAGAGTGATATGGTTATTACGGTGAGAACGTTTTCATATTCTGTAACACGGTGTTAAAGAGGTTCGGATACATGGGTACCATAAGAAAGCAATGCTTTGGTGAGGGAAATCCCAAAAATTATTCTGAAACAAAAGGAGGCGCACAATAGCATTTATTGTAATAAGGAGTTTAGGAGGAGTTATGGTATCCCCTAAATAAAGTATTGGCAAAGTGTTTTGGTAAGAGAAACTCCAAAATGAGTTTGTTCAAGCAACAAAATTATAGAGTTTAAGATTGTGAGAAAGTGTCAATGCATTTTGATAAGGGGCTTAGAAGGAATTGCGGATACAAAATGATTACACCCTAAATCAAACAATGACAGAGTTCATGTTTTGGTATGGGAACCCCAAAAATAATTTGGTGAGAAAAACACAATCGAAGGTGCACAATGACATAATGTGGTTAGGATTCTTAGAACTTTTCATTTAAATATGATTATGGGTATAGGAGGAGAAGCAGAGGAACGAACGAACAGGAAAACGGACAGACGGTTCGTCTAACTTCCCATCACTTTATACCACCCGCTTTAGATATATAATGTTTAACAAATCTCGCAATTTACTCTGCAACGATATTTCCGAGTGACGTATAACACTTTGGAACACTGAAGAAGTTGCTGTTTTCAAGAAACTACAGGAAATGGACTCTTTATAGCAAAATTGAAATCACAACTTCGAAAGATCTAACCTCCTTTCCTCTTTGATGTCATCTTATTTACGGATTTATCTTCTCACGGCCATCATGACGGGTGCCACTAGACAGCAAAATGTGTACCCTTCAACGCTTCTGGACGCTCTTTTTAAAGACTACAGCATTTTACCATTTTAATTTTGCAAGATTGGTTAGTATTTCTCCATGATTGTGAAAGAAAAATATGATTACTAGACTGGTTAGATAAATTATGCATACAATATAGCGTAAATATGCGTTGACGTTGCAATACATTACTTTAATTACATCACTGTCCATCACAAAAACAGTTTAGGTACCATTACTATACTGACGGATTTTAGAAACGCAACATACATTTTGGTGATTTTTTGTTTTACCAAATCATCATTGATCCTCATAAAACTACTATTCATGCTTACCATACTTCTTTATGGTTAGAAAAATTCAATACCTGACTTTCCTGAGGTCATTGAACATACCGGATTTTTGAAATCGCACGAATTTCTAAAAGCGAAAATTTGAAACCCATAAATGATTATTTTAAGGAATTTTTTTCGTGAAAAAATTCTTTCAATCCATACCCACACTTGAATCATTAAAAAAATGTTGCATCTCCATATTGCCGAAGTTATGCAATGAAAATCTTAATCAGGCCATAAGAATATTGCAGGCAGGTTTAGGTGAACGTGATGTTTTCAGACAATTTTACGTCAGAAACTCGTTTTACTGTCCTTACAACAACGGTACAGGTAGACGGGATTTGTTGATGACCATCCATGACCAGATCAATATGTAGTGACAACGCAACTTCAATAAAATTTGATAATGTAACGTCATTTGCAAGACATGTTTACGGCCGCAACGTCAACTGCTAATCAAGTCGACGAATGCCATGGCAGAGAGATTCATGCCAAAAATGTTTCCCATATACTGAAATGTCAAACAATCGACTGCAGAAAAACATTTGAAGCCCTAAAGTTTAAACCACTTAATTGCTAAAACACACTGTAATGTATGGGACAGAGGAAAAATCAGAAGGTACAAAACAGAATTCAAAACATGCCCAACAGAATTGGTTGACCTTTCTGACAATCATTTTGGCGTTGGTTACAGGCAGTCATTGCCTTCGACGGTGACACATCCATTGATAAGGGGAAAACTAGGGATTCATTGCATACCACATGATTTGAACTTTAAAAATGACGTCATCAGTTCAATTTTTGAACTGCGAACTTTTTTTAGACAATTAAGAATGAATAAAATTTATACATTCATTTTACAAAAATTGACTATTTGAAAATGAAAATAAAAAAGAATAATCTAGTGTTGTGTTTTTAAATTCCGTCAGCATATGCAATGTCTTTAAATGAAAACAACGCTTTATAAATTTCGTCCAAAGCGCTTTTTATTATATTTGACTTCATCAGGAATACTCAACACTAGACATTTGAAAGCCAGGAGCTGCAGAAACTTTAGGAGCTAAATGACTTAAAGGACCTTATAAGAATAGCAAAATTTATCTAAGGTCAACTTTGCCTAAAGGGGTTCAAGTTGAGACAAATCCGTGATACATGTTTCAGCTTTCTTAAAGTTTGTCTCTCAGTGCTGGTGGTGAAAGTAAATCCAGAAATGCACTTCGGACGCCAAAGAAAACATATGATTGATTTTGATACTCAACTAATATTTTCTATATATTGGGCCAAAAAGATATAGTATAATACTTTTTGCTTTCTCCTGGTTAAATAATAGTCTAAGCAGGTAGGTAGAATAATTTTAAAAAGTAAAAAAACAAAAATACCGACTATAAAGGAAAATGTTCCAAAATTTAACAGTGCGTAACGAAAAATGTCTTTACTTTAACAGAGATTATTAAAAAATGTCTTGACTATAACAGAGCTTATTATCAAATGTCCATAAAAGATGTGTTATCAAAGTGAATAGAGAGCTTCCTTGGTCTAATGTTCTAGCATGTATCTCATAATCATAAGGTAGTCGTACGTGCTCTATCTGTTTTAATATTGCCTGCAGCGGAAGATAGTGCTATCATATAGTTGGCACTCTCTTACTGAATTGCTAGCAAATTTTGCAAAATTTAACTTTTATTTATTTTATTTTCTATTTCAACATAATCTTTTGCTCCTTAGTGTTGTTTTTTTTCTCTCTCCCTATTATCACCCAGGTAATCAACAGCTTCGTGTCTTCAAATGTATCACTAAATGAGAATAACACATTATAAACTTCGTGCGTTCGAAGCACTTTTCTTGACTTACCTCCATGAGGAACGCTCAAACTTGTCCATTTGAAAGTCAGGGAGGAAAATACATAAACACGTTATGAGCTATATAAAAAAAAGGAACCTAAGAAGTATACCCAAATTAACCTAACGTCAATTTTGCCTGAGAAATTTGGAGACTTAGTTTCTTGAACATTTTTAATTCAACAACGAGGAATTTAAAAAAAAAGTACCAAACTCCAAGGAAAATTCAAAACGGAAAGTCCCTTTACAATTGGCAAAATCAAAAGCTCAAACACATCAAACGAATGGAAAACTACTGTCATATTCCTGACTTGGTACAGGCATTTCCTTATGTAGAAAATGGTGGATTAAACCTGGTTTTAAAGCTAGCTAAACCTCTCACTTGTATGAGTTTTCATTATATTGACAATAATGTGTGAACAAAACAAACAGACATAATAGGTAAAAATGTCAAAAATATTGGTACAGCCGTCAACATTGTATTATAATCTCAATCACTTTAAAAACAAACAAATATGTCAACAAAGAAAAACAAAATGGCATATAGACAAAGCACATAAGCAACAATGAAACACACGAATACAAAAACTGACCACAGCACAACAACACAATGGCGGGATGTACAAGTACCGAGTCACGCATCAATGATATTACCAAAAATGGACCAAACATTAAACGTTAATAATTTACAAAGACATAAAAGAACACTAAAACACGAAATTAAGATGATAAAAAACAAGCAGTACCTAGAATCTATACATCAAGACCATCATGTATTACTTGTGAAGTTGATACAGAATATTTACCAACAAGGTCTTGGTGGTATCTTCCGATGAACTTTTTTAGAAAAAGGACGAAACGTTCTTTGACATAACACTGGTTCATCAACTTTCTGCTCAGACACAGGTGAAGTTTTACAAAGTCTGAGTAGCAGCTGCAAGCTCTTGAACACAAAATGAATTGGGAAATGTATATCCCATATGCAGGTGAAGTTGGTACATTGCTACTAAGGTAGGGGGAAATTGATAATTTCAAAATTAAAATCGTCTCTTTTGTCATAGATTCTGGTACTGAGATTGCCGCTTATGTCACATTCGAGGTATAAGTCTACAAATGAGGCGGAGGATGCCGTGTCTGTTGTTTCTGTAATTTCTAGTTCTGGAGGATATATTAACGGAATTCAATCAGAAAGGTTTGGATTGTTTATGGAAAGAACATCATCAATATATCTGAATGTGAAATTAAATGATCTTCTTGTTTTTGACAAGTGTCTGAAGGAACTCCGACTCATATGAAAATGAGATGAGGTAAGCGAGGAGAGGCGCACATTTCGTTCCCATAGCAATGCCGACAATTTGTTAGAAAAGTAACTTCTGCATTATTTTTCTAAACAAATGAGCTATTCTACTATTTTTCTGATATTTGTCGTTTTCCTTTGTTTCTATTTTTTGTATTTGTTATTTGTTAGCCAGTATCTAAATGATACATTTTGTCTATTTCTTTTCAATTATCAAATGTGTACTAAAACTAAAGTTGTCACTGAGATGTCCAGACTAGCGTCTGGAAGAAACATCGTATTCCAATAGTACGTGATATATGTTAAAACTATATGCTTCATTTGTTTTACCTCTAAGAGGAGTTGCGTGAAATCTTTTCATGCTAGCCTATAAGCTGTTATAATAATTGTATGACCTTTATCTTCTTTTCAGTTGTTCGGATAACTTTTCCAGATAAGATCTGTACTAGTTTTGGTTTTTACCATTAATTTAAAGAAATTTTAAATGATAGAAGAAGAAAGTGCATTTTACTATGCTTTAAAATCAAATTGTAATGCTATAGTATTGTATTAAAATATTTCATACTATATCATTTAAGAGTTCCTCCTTATCTGTCCAGAACAATATTTCTTGAAATTGGTGTTATAACCTATACTATTACACTCACCTATGAGAGTGGAACTAAATGCGACACCGACTACACAAATATTGTTATCTTTCACCGCTGCAATCAATCCACTTACTTGTGTACCATGACTGAAATATAGAATGTCATGACAGCTTGTGGACCATGACTGAAATATAATATGTCATGATAACTTGTTTACCATGACTGAAATATAGAATGGCATGACAACTTGTGTACCATGACTAAAATATAATATGTCATGATAACTTGTGTGCCTTGACTGAAATATAATATGTCATGATAACTTGTGTACCATGACTGAAATATAATATGTCATTATAACTTGTGTGCCTTGACTGAAATATAATATGTCATGATAACTTGTGTACCATGACTGAAATATAATATGTCATGATAACTTGTGTACCTTGACTGAAATATATTTACGTCATGATAACTTGTGTACCATGACTGAAATATAATATGTCATTATAACTTGTGTACCTTGACTTAAATATAATATATCATGATAACTTGTGTACCATGACTGAAATGTAATATGTCATGATATTAAATCAGATTACATAGTGGAGTTGTCTATGTCTAAAAACAAACGTTCACAGTAGCTTGGCAAACGCGTTTAAAACATATTGCATGAAATACATTAGATTTTGAAATACTAAAATGTTTTTGCTGTGTTCAATGCACAGGACTTGATTGAACTTTAATCAGAAACAGTACACATGTTTGACCTGCCAAAGAGTTTTTTTTTTAAATAGACAATCAATATATTATAATATCAACATCTTCATTTGATATATTGTTATTGACAATTGACAATTTTATACGTAGCATAGTTTTACCTAGCTTTTTTACTGAAATCATTGAAAGACGTTCCTACAAAAATGTATGTCCCTAAAAAGTTAAGTGAAAATCTGTCCATGCCTAACCGTCTGGTGACTTGTGATGGAAAAATCAGCATACCTTAAATTGAATTTAAGAGCGGACTTATTCCCGGAAGTTCGGTTGTACAAAAACAGGATCTGAGAAACAGGCAAATTAAGCCATCCTATTTCAATCTTATATTTAGCGTTTAATTATTTAAAGTAAGCACTCTAAAAGGGTTTTACAGTTATTCCCAGTCTTTTAAGCTTTCGTTTGATACAAAAATAACTAAATATCTTAAAAGTTACAGCTATGAGTATAAACTATTTTGTTTTAGATATGCACTGAAGTCTGGTTCCCAGGCTGGGCTCTGAATTAGTGGTTCAACACCATAACAATATCTTAACCAAACATTATAAATGCCATGTTTTGTGAAATTGTATATGACACCCCACTATTAGAAGTCTTTAATCAGGAATAACGATGGTCGTTTGAATCTTAACCAAAAAAATCACTCGTTCCGTTGGTTAATAACCTTTGATTTTGTCATTTTTATGTCTCCCATGCAACGCGTTGCGGGGGAGGAGGGTGTAGAAATGCCGGGTGTCCGTCCGTCCGGTCTTGTTAGCGCTCTCACGTATACAATTATTGCCAGATTTTTATGAAACTTATATAGTAGGTTTATATCAGCGATGTCTCGGACGAGATTGAAAATCAGTGACGATCAATTATTTTCAAAAGAGTTATGCCCCTTAGAAATATTATTTATATGGAAATTTGCATTTTAAGCGCTCTCACATGTACAATTTTTGCTAGATTATTATCAAATTCGTATCAAAGGTTAATATCAGCAATGTCAGTAATGTCAGGGACAATTTCCAAAATATTTGTAATGAGCTATGCCCCTTGGAAATATTAAATATATCAGAAATTGCTCTAAAGTCTTCAACTCTCTAAGATAATTTTAAAAAATTTAAAAAAAAACACTTTTTTTTTGAGTTATTGACCTTGCTCAAGGACGTATAAATCTAATATACGTCCTTGCCTTGAACAAATAAAATATGTGCAACGCAAGGAACATTGAAACTCAGAGTTCTTTTATTTAATTCACTTTGTTGTTCGGTATTTGTGTTATACTTTTTTAGATGATAAAATACACGGTTTCCTTGTTCTTCTTAACAAATATCCAAACGGTTTCAACAATTGATGTTGCAGTAATCTGCAATAATCATAACTGTTCAGCAGAGTAATGTGACATCAAACAAAGAAATTAATATTTTATCAATTTGATACATCCAAAGTGGTAGTGTATATAGGAAGGCTAATTCTAACCTTTTGCCTGAAGGCGGCTTTGGATCATCATCGGAACTATAAATGTCTTTATCATTGGTAGTATCCTGAAACACAAAAGTATTCATTAATGAATATATAATGTTTATGTTAAGAATCTCCAAATGATATGAAATATATCTGAGAAAACATCGACTCTCATGTTTGACAACATTGCTGGTACTTAATTAAAAAAATGCATCAAACTCATAACATTTGGGCAGCAGGTTTCTGCTCTGCTTAATATGCTACAAATTGGTTGGCATTACTGCCAAGGGGATGATCATTACTTGTTAAACAGTTTTAAACACCTGGTTTTTTTTTTTTGGTTTTTTTTTGTGGGAGACTGTGGGTTGCCCTTTAGCGTAAAATGGTCTGCTTATGAATAATAAAGTGCTGATTGCAATACATTGTTCGAGAAAGCGATTAGTAAATGAACTTGTCAATACAAGACTTAGCTAAATAAGTACGTGTATGCTATTCTCTTGACTTTTACAACAAACACAAAGGGCGAGCAAGCCAGCAATAATTCAATTTTCATTGTTTCCCCTTACTTGGCTCATAATTCACGAGAAGCATTGACTATGCTGAGGATAAAATATATTACACCGAATCAGAAATATGTTTATTTCAAGTATAATAAAGTTTTTATGGTAAGACTTTTATTCAAAAACGTCCCATTCTAGCCCTCGTCCAATGTAATGCCTCAAATAGACCTCTCTAGATTAAATTGCGGTTTCGGCTTGATACAGGTGTGATACTGAAAAATATCTGATATTTTCTATTTATATTTTTGACATATTTTGCCCTAGGCGATTACATTATTATTCAAAAATTTAATATTTGATACTTACAACATTTGCAGCAAGATCAGGATGGTCGGTTTGTAATCCATCATCCAATACTGCAATGACGATACCAGAACCAGAGTAACCTGCTGACCAGGCGCTACTGACCTTCATTGTTGGGGTAACATCGTCATTCTGAAAATGATAATTGTGATTCTTATTTCTTCAACTTTTCGTGGAATTAACCGATTTATAACACTTGGGATTTATTAGTTCATTAATTTCGGATATAATCTTTATTATGAATTAATTTTTTGAATTGAGCCCAACATTTCTTGAAAATAAGGACACTGAAATATGCTTACACTGGACTTTCAATGGAACTTCCATTTAGAAAACTTTGAACAAAAAAATTAATCTTATTGTCTATTCACCTAAATGACAATGTTCTCATTTACAAAAAAAACTGTACAAAAGTAAATACCTCAATGTAAACGCTATACATTTTTTTGTAAGTCAATTTTCCGATTTGGTTCAACAAAATTAAAAAAATAACCAGTTGTACAACCTACATTGTACCTACATTGTACCAAAAAGGAATTTGACGACAATAGGTATACATGCCATTGCTTTGACTGTTTGGCCTTTGTACTTTTTTATGAGACAACGAAAAAATGCACTAGTATCTGTATTTAAAAATTAGTTTTGCACGAATAGTTTGCAACATTTGTAATATAAGAACCTACCAAATACCAAAGATTATTCCATTCTGAATCCACTGTTCTTGGTACTCTGACATAGCCTATTTCTTGTTGAACCCATTTAATCTACAATCAAATGTTATGTTGAAATCATTTCGGAGTACTAGTCTTACTTCATGTAAGAACTAATCATATGAATTTACCCAATAACTTACAAACTTTTATGTGTTCGGGAATCAAATAGTACTACTCGGTCATTCTCGCGAATGGCCGAGTAGTAAATATTGTTCGGATACTGCTTTTAAGACATATTAATCTGATTGAAATACATACCATGTTTCCACGCTTACCTTACAAGGAACTGACAACACTTCGTTCTAATTTCTGTTTTAAAGACCTTTTGAGAGTCTCTGGTTTTTTTCCAAATGATACACACCTTCAAAAATCTTAAGGCTGAAATTTTTGTATTGGCTGATGTAGAAATTACCAGAACAGAAAGTAGAATAGAGTGTTGTCAAATCCTTGTAAGCAAAGCGTGAACACAGGTTCTGTATTTTAGTCAGATTGAAGACATATCAATATGATACAGTAAGTAACGTTGTGAACAGTGCAGATACATATGCTCCTCTAAAGACTCAATATGTGCAATATAAATGAACGTGGAATTCGGGATAATATATGTAGAGATGGACTTTAAACATGTAGTAACATGGTTAATGAAATCAAATTTTGTCAAAAGACATGCATGACATAATCCAACGGCGTAATTCGGTTAATCGGGGACTTTGTCCGTTGATCTACATTTGTATGGAGTAACATAGAAGAAAAGTTCGCTGATTTGAGTAGTATGGGTTAGTTGATCTACATTTGTATGGAGTAACATAGGAGAAAAGTTCGCTTATCTGAGTAGTATGGGTCGGTTGATCTACATTTGTATGGAGTAACATAGGAGAAAAGTTCGCCGATCTGAGTAGTATGGGTTCGTTAATCTACATTTGTATGGAGTAACATAGGAGAAAAGTTCGCTGATTTGAGTAGTATAAGTCCGTTGATCTACATTTGTATGGAGTAACATAGGAGAAAAGTTTTCGCTTATCTGAGTAGTATGGGTTCGTTGATCTACATTTGTATGCAGTAACATAGGAGAAAATTTCGCTGATCTGAGAAGTATGGGTTCGTTGATCTACATTTGTATGGAGTAACATAAAAGAAAAGTTCGCTGATTTGAGTAGTATGGGTCCGTTGATCTACATTTGTATGGAGTAACATAGGAGAAAAATTCGCTTATCTGAGTAGTATGGGTCGGTTGATGTACATTTGTATGCAGTAACATAGGAGAAAAGTTCGCTGATCTGAGTAGTATGGGTTCGTTGATCTACATTTGTATGGAGTAACATATGAGAAAAGTTCGCTGATCACGTGATAAAGGAGATAACAACACTATAATACATAAATAGTCTTACCCCTGGACTTTGTCTCAATAGATTTACATTAGTGTCTTCTCTAAGAGTACTCAGTTTTTCTTTTGTTCTTGTCTGTCGGATCTGTGCTTTGATATATACTTCTTGTCCTATCCGAAACTGAAATTATTCGAAAAAAAGAATGAACATCAATCGACATTCATGCATTCTGAAATAATATCTATTTCATTTTTTATAAAGCCCATAGCTACCTTATAATTTAAGTATAAGACAGAGACAGTTTTTTTTTTTTTTTTTTATTAATATGCAACGATTTGGTTAATTTGATACACGAACAAGTGAAGTTGCAAATATGTGTGTTCTTCGTTTAACAATTTAATCAAATTGAAAAACAAATTCATCTATTGATTGATGTAAGGCAATCTGTTTTTGCTGTGACCATCTAATATGCTATTAACTCATCATAGATACCAAGGTTATAATTTTATACGCCAGACGCGCGTTACGTCTACAAAAGACTTATCAGTGACGCTCGAATCAAAAAAGTTAAAAGACCAAATAATATAAACGAAGTTGAAGGGCAGTGAGGACCCAAAATTCCGAAAGGTTTTGACAAATACAGGAAAGGTAATCTATTCCTGTGTAGAAACTCCTTAGTATTTCGAAAAATTCAAAGTTTTTATTAAAAGCCTCAGTGGCCGAGTGGTCTTACAACTGTATAATTAGAATGTCAACACTAAGGTTGTGAGTTCGAATCCCCCATGTGGAAGTGTGCTCGATACTCCAATCTTAATTGTCTAGGATTGTCACTTTTCCTACCGAAAGTCGTTGGTTCTCTCAGGGCACTATGGCTTCTTCAACCAATAAAAACTGACCGCAATGAAATAGACAATGTTGCTGAAAGTGGTGTTTAATACTAGTCAATCAAATCAAATCAATTACTAGTATTCAGATTAGTTATAGATCTTGTCTTGCTGATTATGTTTCTTTTAAACATTGTTCTCCATCTATTATAGTTTCAAAGATGAAAGGCAAAATGAAATATAATGGAAAATTTCGTCATTTACTCCTATAAGAAGTCGTTTGATTTGATTGATTTGATGTTAAAAAAAAAGTAAAATCACAAAAATACTGAACTCCGAAGAAAAGTCAAAAAGGAAAGTCCCCAATCAAATGACAAAATCAAAAAAACAAACACATCAAACGAATGGATAACAACTGTCATATTCCTGACTTGGTACAGGCATTTTCTATAAAAATAATTTCTCTATATATAACGGTTTTTAAGATAATGAACAAAAATTGCATTTAACCCCTATGTTATATTTTTAGCCATTTCGGCCATATTGTTTGGTGGGCAGACTCACAGGACACCTTTTTAAATCTAATACACCACAGATGATTAAGGCCAAGTTTGGTTCCAATTGGCCTAGTAGTTTCCGAGGAGAAGATTTTTGTAAAATTAAAGGGCCAACGACGACGGAAGAAGACGGACGACCGATGACAATGGACGACGGACGCCAAGTAGTGAGAATAATAACTCGCTTGGCCTTTTAGGTCAGGAGAGCTACCAAGATATAGTTTTATTAGGTCACTTCATGCATACCGGATACTCTTATATTCAATATTTTAATTATTTTTTCAAGTATTCATACATCCTTGGCTTTCCTTTTTTTTTTTTATCTTTTTTTGCTCTGAGCGTTCCTGATGATGGTAAATCTAGATCAGTGCTTCAGATGCAGCAAAAGTTTTATTTTAATTTGCTGTATAATGTATGAGTTATTTTTTTTTTTTTTTTTTTTTGGACTAATCATCTCTATGTTGTCGATAAACCCATCACCATGGTCTTTACGATATAAAAAAGGAAATGAAATACCAAGGGGGCAATGAAGGTTGCAGGACGTTTTTGCAAAAAATTCAAAATTACTGAAGTGTACATTTTAGCGCGACTATATAGCCCAAGTTAGCGCCGGATTAATCCAATTACACCTGTATTTCGGAAACCCGTTTTAGCAAGACAAGACAAGACAAGACAAATACTGTATTAAAGTCTCACCTCATGTATGTTTATTTAAAACATAGACATATATAAAGGTCGAACAACAGCGTATACATAAACCACTCTAAAATAAGTTACGAGATACTGATAATTTAACACATAATTATATACACAAAGAAATGTATATACAAGCATTAAACCCATTTGTTACATATAGACATATATAGAAAGTAAACTTTGTAAGCCACTCAAAATGAGATTAAAAACTATAGAAAGTACTTTTGGATAGTTGCCAAATATCAAAGTTGATTGCATATCTTTTTAATTTCTTATAATGACGTATTTCGCTTATCCCCCCTTTTTATCTTTTTCTTCTGGTATCAAACGTAGCTTTAATGCTCTGCAAAAGTACGGAGGTATCCCGGGAATCTCATAATAAAAAAGGTAATAGTTTTACTTAGTAACTTCATGGACTTCACTATTTCAACTATTGCTGTATAGGCTGTGTGTACTTTTTTTTTGGAGCTCAGGATAGATCTGATAATTTTCTAATTTTTTTTTTATTTTGCGATGAAACCCATTACCACGCTTTTGGCGATTAAATGACGTGAAAATATCTAGGGCAATCAAAAACCCGGAATGATAGAAAAATAGACAATACCATTGCCAAATAAAAAAAACCGAACGTACAAACAAACAACGGGCAAAGTAAGAGTCTTCAAAAAACTAAAAAAAACAAAACAAAAAGGAAACAAACCCCGGGTGGTGCACGTATTTGCTCCGGAAGGGTCAACAGTTATCACACCTCGTGTAGCTCATGACACGCAACATTCCGATGAACACTTGAACAGTTAACAGTTAATTTGTTTGGTATTTAAAATACGAATAATGAATAAATAAAAAGCCTGAGCATGTGTTATGATTTTGATTGAATTGTGCGTTCAAATGTAAAATTAAAAAGAGGGACGAAGATGAAAAAATAGAAACGGATTAAAATATACACCAATAAGTTATACTAAACACATGCACAATCTTTCAATGACATAATATTGAAAAAATAATTATAAGTTCTTCATGAATGGAATACAAAACACTGTAAAAGTATGTTGGCTCTGCAGCGTGGTGTTACACACGCTTGAACAGCACTAAGAAACTATTGTAGGTTTATAAGTCGCGTTGAATCGAAATATATTATAACCATATACCTTTAATGTACAATTAATTTATCAGATCAAGTACATATGTTACGTAGTTATAACTAATCTTGTCTAACAAGTTTATAAGGGTTGATATTGGTGGCTGGTTTTTTATTGTCATACAAGTGTGAGATTTAGCTAGCTACACAACCAGGTTGTATCAAATTCAAATTGATAAATGTTAGTTAAGAACATAAATTTATGTATTAATAAATTTGTTTCGGACTTTGATGGTTTCCTTCATACAATGTATATCATAAAACACTAGATATGCTTGCATACATTGTGTTAAACAGCTTGACAAAATAAGGAACAGATACCCGAAACATATTTAAAAACCTGTGTATCTAGACCAATCTTATTAAAATCAGATACTGTGGATTCATTATTTTTCGTTGGATACCAATTTTCGTGGAATTCGTGGGTACATGGAAACCACGAATTTAAATGTTCAACGAATTGCAAATTTGCTGTATGATTAAATGGAGAATTTTGGAAAACCACGAAATCAAATATCCACGAAAATGCAAGTTTTCCTCAATCCACGAAAATTGGTACCCACGAAAATAAATGAATCCACAGTATTCACTTTGCTCTGTTAGTATAAATAAGAAGATATGGTATGAGTGCCAATGAGACAACTCTCCGTCCAAGTCACAATGTATAAAAAGTAAACAATTATAGGTCAAAGTACGGCCTTCAACACGTAGCCTTGGCTCCCACCGAACAACAAGCTATAAAGGGCCCCAAAATGACTAGTGTAAAACAATTCAAACAGGAAAACCAACGGTCTTACATGTATCTGTATAAAAAACGAGATTTGTTTGTATCCGAAAGACACACAAATCTAAATGGACAAAGAGAAAGATCTGATTTAAATAAGATTGTATCTAGACCTACCTCTAATTCCATTTTACTCCCTTATCAAAAATTATAACTTCAACAATAACTTTCGTTAAAACATTTTGTTCTCGTTCGAGATGCAAGTTTTTTTCTTTCTAGAAATTTAAAATCAAACAATGTATCGAAAATAAACATACACCCCACTCTCGCAACAAAAGAAGATGAAAAAAGTTTAATTTTATTCATATTTATTGAATGTAGCAGTTCAAAAACTGTAAATTGTAAAAATATAGTTTATCAATTCTATGCATATTTTTTCTGAAACTTTTATGTATATGGAATCCTCTTAATAGCTAATTTTACATCGGGTAATATGTTTGATATGTTTATAGAATATTTCTTTGATATAATGTGTTTCTAAATTTTAAATACATTTGTATAATCGATGATGAGAGTTGAACTTGATTTATTACTTTAGCATAATTTCATCTTAATTAGCATGATATGGACAATTCATTCTTGCGGTATCGGTTTTACTCATTGTTGAAGGCTGTACAGTGACCTATAGTTGTTAATTTCTATGTCAATTGGTCTCTTGTGGAGAGTTGTCTTACTGGCAATCATACCAAATCTTCTTATTTTTATATAAACACAATGTCCTACTACACCCACGTGACAAAACCCACAAGAAAAGGAAAAACGCTATTATTGTTGTTCTTCGTCTAACAGTTATTGTATCCTACCTGCTCGATATACTCAAATCCCGGATGTTCCTTATTAAACCATATGTTTGGATCGTCTTCTCTTGATGTTGTGAATACTATCCTGTCAGTAAATTCTCCATCTCTAAAATCTGATCTTCTAAAACCAAAAACTGAATGGAACAAGTATAAATTAAGAAGCGAAAAATAAAAATTCATTTTTGTTCAATTCAAAAGGCTAGTGTTTTGAAAAATCTATATTTTTCGAAATATGCCACGTTGAGAATGTGATACAGCTACGTGTTACTTTAACCAAAGATTTTTAAAATCTTATCAATAGCTTATATCTATATATACTATTGATACACTTCAGAAACTTTACTGTGTTATTGCCTGGTGAATTTTAAAACTTTTTTTCAATAGTCGTAATCGATGATGTATATGTATCTACATGAAATGTAATTAAATCAGCTTATTTATAGTTTGCAGCAATATTAACGCAAATCTTTTATTTTTTCTACATGAAAATGTTAATGAAATTTGGTATGGTCATTGCACAAGATGGTATCTTAACTTGTTTTCTGTTTATGATGTTGCTTCATGACAATACATGCACGTGGAATTGCAGCCAAAAGGAGTGTAGGGCGGATGATTTCAAATGAGCAGGTTAAGTACTTTCAATTGTTTTTTTTCTTTCAGTAGCTGTTAGTGTTCTGTAGTAAGTCATTGTCTTAACTTTTTTTTTATGTAAAATTAAAGAAATGTGGTATGATTGCCAATGAGAAAAATACCCACCATAGTCTGAAACAATTCAAAAGGAAAAAAAATATATGCTGAAACCATAAACCAATAAAAACAAATATTGAACATACATATACCATTTTTGTTAATCCACTAGTGTCAAGAAAGGGAATGATTAAGAAGTATACAAAAGACATATCTAACCTAACTATCTATATGTTATGCACAATATAGCTGATTTAAGTCTCAGCGGTTTGCCCCTTGTATATCTTTATGAGTTTTTTTGTATGTGTTTTTTTTTTCTTTTTTTTTTCTTCTTCTTGTTTTATTTTTGAGAAAATTGGTATTTTATAGTCTGTGAAATTGTCTACATCTTTTAAAAACTCGTAACTAAATTTCAATTGGTATGTGTTATGGACAGTTGTCTTGTGTGTATAAGACCGTGTTGACCACTGACACTATAGAAAGAAAAAATATATCATGCATATAAGTGTATAACTATTATTTTTTGTTACTTCATATTGTAACATATTTATTGTCATCACTTGGCTCGTGAGCGTCGTCGTCTTCGTACACTTTTTCGATAGCAATAAGAGGTGGGTCGAAACTGTAAAATGATCAGCGATGCAAAAAATATTTTTGACATGTGAGCTATTCATGGGCTATTATGAGACACTTGTTCAATTTAGGTAGCTAGAAACTTTATGAAAACAAACTCTTATCCGAAATGTACAGGAAAACTATTTTTTTCTCGACAATACATGATGGACTAAATAGCTGATTCTAAATATATTGTTATATTCTACTCTATGTCAATACTCTTATCCTGGAAATAAGAGTGAGTACTCATTTGACAGATTTCGATCAACAGCTGTTTTTTTTTTAAACTTTGAAAAATGCAATTCCTCCGCCCCCGCCAAACCCTTGGACCCGAAGAGACGAGTCGACTAACTGTATAGAGATACAATAAAATTACCATGTAATTAGAATACAGCTTCCTCTGACAAATTATAAGTCTGTAATAAAAGAAATTGAATATTTCGTTCTCTGGGGATACTACTCTCAAATAATTTTACATTGTGGACGGACAGTCGTGTGCAGATGATAATTGTTTTTCAAATAAAAACTTTCTTTACAACACGTATTGATTAATATGCTGGATCACGTTCGCAATTATATTAATTATAACGTTTATTGGATTGTATTTTCAGACATTTATATTTTCCGGAATTGAATCTGGACTTAACCGTATGAACTTCCGTTTACTTTCTCTTCCTCGCTTTTCAATTGCAAATGGATGACACGACAAATTTGATCCTGAGGATATTGTGACAAATCACCGTCAAGTACGTTCCAAATCAATTATTAACTGTTAAATATATATTCTTTTAATTCCCGTTAACATGATTTACACGTTTATTCAACAAATACGAACTCTAATTGTTTATTTCTTTGAATTGAACAGCAAATTCTACTTTCGTTTTTGACTCGATTATCAATATTGCATTTAACGTTCATATATTTCATTCGTACATATTGTAAAATATTGTATTTTTATTTCTTTCAGTTTACCAAACATACACAATCTGTAATAACTGCTGTATCCCTTCTGATGGAATTATAATCTACAATCTTTAAACGCAGGTTGTTATTTTTATAATTTGCCGAGTTTGCGATCAGCCCTTGGTTAAACTAGCTGAGTCAGGCTCAGCATAGTAAATTGACGACAACCTGTCTATACATATCTAGACAAGGAACTACAACGTAACATCGTTCGTAGCTGTTACAACAACAGTACTCAACACAGCTTGTGTGTACCAGGCAGCAAACTACCAATGTTGGCAACTGTCTATTTTAATCTTACTGTTCGTTAATAACTGTTGATTAAAAAACATGGATCCTGAACACGCAGAACGCCAAGACGACCCTGAGCGTCAAGAAACAGAACTCCAAGCAAAAACGAAACTGTCTATAGATGCTGGACATCCTGTCGAAACTCCGTCTGATGTTGCACTCTTAGAGGAATTTCCCGAGACTAGGCGAGTACTTGATCTCACGGAAAATGGTCGAGGAGCGTACACAGAAAAACGTGACAAGTTCTGTCAAGAACTAGAGGCCCTCTGGTCAGATATAGAATCCCAGTTATTGGAAGTCATCACGCCTCCTAACGAGCTCCAGCAACTCTTAACAGCCCAGGACAAACTTGTAAAATCCTGTACTAATTATTGTAGGCTCACAGATGAATATCTGGACTTTCTGAAAAGGACGAGAACATTGAACAGTCTAAAAGACATAGACGCATGTAATCTCTCATTGGTCATCCGTCTGTCCAAAGTGGACCTGGCCATCGAAACCTTACACGAGCATCGCCTTGCCCTGACAAAGGCTAAATCTACGAAAACGAAGACATCTAAGAGTAAGAAAACCTCCCACAGCGGAAGCTCCAATGTCTCTGACATGTCAAGCCTAGCACGGAGGAAGCGTGCCAAAGTAGAGGCTGCTAAATCTAAAATAGCCTTTGCCGAAAAACATGCCGTGTTCCTTAAACGGGAGGCCTTATTAGAGGAACAAGCTCTGTTCAGGAAAACAGAAGTCAACGCCGAAATGGAGCAAGAAGCCATCCGAGCAGTACAGGAGGCCGCTCAAAGAAAAGCTCAATCAGAACAGGAGGCCGTCAAAGAAAAGCTCAATCAGAACAGGAGACCGCTCAAAGAAAAGCTCAATCAGAACAGGAGGTAATACGCAGGAAAGCTCAATTGGAACAAGAGGCTGCGCCTGTAAGCTGGGAAAAAGCTGAATTAAAGGCCAATTTGAACCTTCTCGAAGCACAGAGAGAAACTGCAGCCGCAGAAGCCGAGGCTCGTATTGTATCCTAGAGTACGACGACAACCAAGCGTTGGACGATCTTCCTAATGAGACAGAAGACCCGCTCCAACGTGTGCAAGATTTCGTCAATAAACATCCTGAACCAACTGCCATTTAGGAAGTGACAGCCACTCAAAAGAGAAAACAAACTCCTGCTAAGTCATGTAGCACCAGCTGTCATGCCATCCGTGGCACTGAACTAGTCATCACAAACACCTGCTGTCTTACCTACACATGCTAAGTCACCAGAAGTTAATGTATTTCCAGATCTAGGAACAATAACTGGCATAGAAAAACAAGGCGTTATAGAATAAATCCCTGTTTCACACCAAAAACAAGGCTTTATAGAAGAGATCCCTGTTGCACACCAGCAACAAATCAACCCTACATCGGAGATAACCAGATTTCTCCTACGTACGGACCTGTTGTTCTCCCGATTAACGAGCTTTAACGACCGGGCAGAATCCTTCCATACATGGAAAGCTAGCTTCAAAAACGTCACAGACGAGTTGCAAGTTACCGACTCGGAACAGATAGATCAACTCATCAAGTGGCTTGGGCCAGAGTCTGGTAAACATGCCATTAGCATGAGAGCGTCGAACGCCAATAATCCTACAAAAGGCATACAAAAATTATGGCAGAGGCTTGACGAGCGGTATGGTGCTCCAGAAATGTTGGAGGCCTCTCTCACGAGTAAACTTGTCAACTTTCCAACCTTGACGATCAAGGACAATGCACGTCTCTATAACAAGGGCATCTAGATATAAATTGAACCACGACGTTGCCTTTCCGCCGTTCACAGAGTTATCTGCATTCATCAGTGAAATAAGCAAAATTAAAAACGATCCTAGTTTCATCTTTGAGTCAAAAGTCACACCAAATACAAAAGGTGCTCCACCAAGGTTCACGTCTCACCCCAAGACTAAAGTTGGTGTCCATAAAACAGCGGTTGAGCAGCAATCTGCAGACGCCAGCAAACAATACAAAGCATTACTTAAATGAATGTCGAGTGTTCCGAGCCAAGTCAATAGAGGAACGCAAAGGTCTTTTGAAACAAAACAATGTCTGTTACAAGTGTTGCGATTCCACCACACACAAAAAATCGGGAATGCAATGCACGCATAAGTTGTAAAACAAGGGGGAGTAAACAACATACCACCGCACTTCACATCACTAGACAACAACCACCTGCAGGTTCTCAGTCTAGCTCGCCCAGACAAGCCTACGGCGGGGAGCCATTAGAATCGGCTGAAACTAAGACTTGCATTAACAAGCAGCACGTGCCTTTTGAATTAAACGTCAAAATTACCAACATTTTACCAACAGGACAACCGTCAACGTTTCAACCATGCACAAGCAAGTTTGACATTCGGGAAAATTACTCAGACCCCGTTAAGAAAGATTTACAATCGCCACTCTTTGAAAAAACAAGGGACGAGGATAAACCTGGAATGTCATATGAGGACAAAATGTTCATGAGGCAGATGGACAACGAATTTATGAGGGACTCGAAGGGAAGTTAGGTAGCACCGTTACCGTTCCGAGTGCCAAGACAGCCATTGCCAAGTATCAGACAACAAGCTCTTCATCGTGCTAATATGTTAGACGCCAATCTGAGTAGGAACCCAGTAAAACGGGAACACTTTCTCACATTCATGAGTAAGATTCTGGACAACAATCATGCAGAGCTTGCTCCTCCGTTGGACGACCATGAAGAAAG